AAGGGTAGGAAAGAAAAGGAAATAACGGGACAGTGAGCGGAGAGAGGAGGGTAAGGAACGAAATGAAAGGGGTGAAGTGGCGAAAGAGAGAAGAAGCGCGGGTTGCGGGGAATGGAAGGCGGAAGACAGACGGGTGGCAGACACCCCATGCTTATCCTCGTCCCTCCAACGGCACTCGGTCCGTGACTCACTAAACCGTTAAGGGATAAAGCCGCGCTGCTTTCACAGTATGCGCACACACCGACACCGATATTTGCAGATCCGCGTGTGTTAACCTGCGCCCGTGTCTACGCGTGCACTGCTCGATAGCTTCGATGTATCTCTCGTTACGCTTGTACACGAACAACCTTCTCTCGCCTCTTATATTTCATCGCACTCTCCTATGTATATGCGAATCCCTGTGTCTCCCGCCAACACACTGCTCCTGGCACACGAGCTTCGAACCGCCGAGTGCATTACACTTTCTCTCTCCTTATCCCTGCATCTCGTGTTCTTTTTCTCTATATGTATACATACATATGCATACATGTTATATATGTCCGTTTTGGTTCTTGCTATTAGACAGTTTTTGTAGTATAACGAGCGGTTATATACGAGCGAGATTACGCTCGAACGACAAAGCGATTCGCCTCTGAAAGAAAAATTCATCTTGCTTGTAATCCTCGTTACGTCTGTCGGATTTCGTCGCGAGTCCTTCTTAGTCGACTACCGATATTCTCTCGTTTCAATATCACACTATCGCGTCGCGTTGTTGGAATGAAAAATTCAAATAGACGTAAAAATTGGCGTGATCTTTTATCCTGCTCGATGCCTCTTTTTAACGAAACGAATGCTTCTTGTTCTCAGGACGTACGCTGAACGGACAGCCGTTATTGGAATTTCCAATGTCCAGTGGAGAACCCGCGTTGGAGCCACTGAGGATCAAAAGAGCAACCCTTTGGACCAGAGTGGAATTCAGGCACGCCCACCATTATCAACATCATCGTCAGAGTCAAACGAACCAAAGAAATATTACTCTCTGGGTATTTAGAGTACGCTGCGGCAACACGACGCACTTGCGTGGAAAGGTAATCTCGACCGGTCGATTATTTAGATTCGCTTGGATGTTCTTGCATATATGTAACGCGTCGAGTAATTAACTTTCGTAATTTCCCCTTTATAATCGCGTGTTTCTCGCTACTGAATATTCCGAATGCGCACGCTTATACAGAAAGCTTTTCAGAAAGCTTTTTTCCTTACTTGTCTCGACGGGTGCCACATGTTCCCGAAGACGGGGCGTAAATTTTCCAAATAACCCGATCAAGTTCGTAGACACGCGCGAATTACGCGTCGGTTGCTCTTCGTCGCATCTAGGATCTTCGTGCGATAATTATACGTACGATAGCGACAAGAAAAAGGACGCTCGACCACTTTCGTTCGACTTATATAAATGTAATCGCGTTAAAACGTACTGCGATCTTAAGTCGTCTTAGCAATCGTTCGTCGCAATATTAGCGACTACGGTTGACGGGTTTCAGCCGATCGGGAAGCTTCGAGTAATGCCGAGTAGGGTGAAAAATAAAATAATTCGCGGTCGTTCTCCTTCCCTGGCGAAAAACGGATAAATGGATATACACGTGGTTTCGTAGGAGCTAGGTCAATACTTGGAGATGGTCACGTCGCTGGGAGTAAACGTTGGACAACTGGGTTGGCTCAAGTTCGACGTCACCAAGGTTGTGAACAGTTGGTACACGACGAGTCGGGATACCGCCAGAGATAAATTAACGTTGCTCGTCGACTGTACCGGATGTGGCTCGCACGTCTACGTATCCACCTTTGACGGACATTCCCCGCACGTGATCGAGTCATCTTTAAACGCAAAAGGTATCCAACTATCCTGACTTTTTCTTTTCCCGAGAAATTTTTTTGAACGCGTAGAAATATCGTCGACGCTGTGATCGATAGATCATCGATATTCGTTTCGTAAGATTTGAAAACACCGCGAAACTATGGAACACGTTCGAACGTGTAAAAGTTACAGGTTACTAGCGACACTTTTAGCAGAAAATGTACAGTGTCTTAAACACACGTGCGATTAAACGTATCGATATTAAACATAGGTTCCGCTCGATATCACGGCTAACATAACGAATAATTAATTGTACGAACGCTTTGGTGATCTCCGCGAAGCGTACGCTTGCGAGAAATACCTTGTAATTCGAATACGTGTATTTTTATTTTTATATTCGTTTCAAATTTGTCTATCGCAAACGTGATAATCGTGTCTCGTGGCCGTATTAGCGAATAATCACAAAGTCACGAAAAACCACGTTTCGCAGGTACTCAAGATCCGGATAGGCCTTTCCTAGTCGTCCGCACGGATCCCGCGGCTGTGAAACGGGTTAGAAGGCGAGCGATCGAGTGCAGCGGTGCTATAAAGGGTCAATGCTGCAAGCAAAGGTTCTACGTAAATTTTTCTCAGCTCGGCTGGGACGACTGGATAATCGCTCCTCAAGGGTAAGGACGATAACGAAATCGTATCGTAAGAATTTGAAGCGCGATCCTCTTGCGACGTAAGGTGAGCTGAAGTTATTCGAGTCGTCGACTTAAAATGCGATCTTCGACTTTGCGACATCGATAGAGCGGTCGAAATCGTCGTAGGCTGCGAAGCGGACTTTTACGCGTTTATTTAACAACGCGATAATACGCAGAGTGTACGTGATATGCAAAAATACGGACGATATCTGTTTGTCAAATCAGGTTGAGAAAAGTACGAGTTTGCGTAAAAAGGCGCCGTCTAGTTGCGACCGATGATGCAGTGCTGTGTATAGTTTCACACAGTCGAAGGAACAAACGAGGTGTTGCATTATTGACACAACGTTGTCGGGGTGGATGGTTGTTTTGCCGATCGGATTGTTATCGAGTTAGCGTAGCGCAGACACGAGTGGAGCGGGGTATACGCGTTGTACGATGGCACGAGACGATACAGCCGTCGATCAGTAACTGCAAGTCATTCGTAGGGTATCCCGTGAAATCAGAGTGTCGCTTACAAGTGCAACGGCCCTAAACCCTTAACTTACCGGCAATTATTGCAAACAGAATTGTCTGCAGCTTAACGAAGTTTGCCGCTCTGCGGAAACACGCACGCACGAGAAACAGAAATTCGATATCTGCTTCAAATTTTCCCCAATTAAATACAATTTCTATTTTATCGTATAATACAATTCTATCTTACCGTAAATATAAATATCCTTGAACTCCGTACATCGACGAAAACTCTGCTAGACTAACCCTTCGCGTAAATATTCGTCAACCCTAACTTGCTTCGACCAAGCTGATAACAATGCCGATCGCAGACAGAGAATTTCTCTAGTTGCACGAACTGACGGACGTTCGTCCAAGTTGGTATCGTCGCTTTGAAAAACTTGCTTGTGAAAATTATGAAAACTACGTGGAGTAACGTAAACGGGTTGTTCGATCTGCGTAGGTACTACGCGAATTACTGCAGGGGAGACTGCGCGGCCGGACACAGAACACCGGACACCTTCCTCAATTACTACACCCACGTGATCGAGGAATACCGAAAGATGGATCGACTGGCTGGCATGCAGCCCTGCTGCGCTCCCCTCAAGTTCTCGCCGATGTCGTTGATCTACTACGGTCCTGACTCCAACATCATCAAGAGAGATCTACCAAAGATGGTAGTGGACGAATGCGGCTGCCCTTAAACGTTCGTCTTCTACTCCGTACATAGCTCCTTCTATGCTCTCCCTTCGCGCTCCCTTTACGCTCCCTTTACGCTCCCTTTACAATCCCTTCGTGTATGCTGTTCGTACGCAGCCTGTACGCGGACTCGAAGTCGATTCGAAGAGGCTAGTGCGTCCACTGAAACGGCCTTTTCGAGATTTACAGCGAGGTACGGTATACATATTTATACGCGTCGGATCTTCGTCCGGCGTTCCTTCGATATTGTCAAATTTCATAACGCTTTGCCCGCAGAATTCGTGGCTGTTGATCGCGACGAGGCCGTTTAGTAGGTCGTGGTCGTCACCAGCGTGTTACTTCGATTTTCCATTCGCTCTGTATATACGTAGTTCGTGGCGGAATGTAACGAAGTTGTTCGTTGGAAAGCAAACTAGACGCGTTTCGACTTTGCTCGCGATCCGACAGGCTTCTCACTTCTTAGATAAACTGGCTCCGATTCGAATGGTAAATCGACGATCGGATCGCGCGTTCTCGCTCGTTGGTGGTTCGGTCGCGATACCCAACGAATCGCCGGATTCGCAATCGCGATCTGAAAGCGTTCAGGGAAGAACGGGGCAAAGAAGAAACGCGGATTTAGCCGTTAACGCGAAGGTTTTCTAATAAGACTTGTAGCTAAATTACTTGCTCGTTTATTAGTAAGAGCTGACTGAGAGTAAATAGAAACGGACATGAAGCGAGTGTGTGCGTGTGAGGGGAAGACCGAGAGCCAGAGCGCGTGAAGAAACATGTGAAAAGAAGGAAACGTGAAAGTAACGCGGACAACTGGATGAAAAAAAAGAGTGGAAATAGGAGCACGAAGAGAAACGAATAAAGAAAAGAACCGTTCAACGAGAATTACGTTCGTTTCGTTTCCACGCCACGTTATTAATGATTGCTCGTGGCAAAGAGCACGGGATTCAAAGGGAGTTTGGAGAGGAAAGAGGCTACGCGAAACGAACTTCTTGCTAGGAGCTTAGTCTTTTCGTACTAGTTGCGCGATTAAGAGGAAAACGAAGGGAAAGGAACTAATGAAAGTAAAAATGAGTGATTCCAATTTTAGGGTTTATGTATTACGTATGTATATTATATATACATGCAGACACTCGAGGTGATTTAACCGAGTATAAATATTTAAATACGAGCGTAAAGTTTAAGTGTAAACTATAAAAAGAAAAAAGAAACTCAATCTGATTGCCTTGTTTTTTATGCGAAACATTTGAAAGTATCGAAGAAAACGACTTAAATTGAAAAAAAAAGCAAAAAATATTATAAAATGCATGCGTACATGATAGATTTATACGTATATGTATCTACATGTGCATATATGTATAAATGAGATATAGATACATACACACGAGGGACGATAATAGGAAAACGAAAAAAAAAAAACGCAAAATATTCGATGTAGCAGGGATGGGAGGGTGGGAATCTTTGGGAAGGGTGCGGGTGGGGCGGGGTGGGTGGTCTTAAGTGCAAAACAGATTAACGAAAGTCACGATATAATTCTTATTTATTAACTAACTTAATCAACAATATTTCCATAATAACAGCCGATAGGATGAATCGTTGAAAACGTCAGAACGGTGTTGTAAGATAAACATTTTTCTTAACTCAAAGTTATAAAACAACTTTATAAAAGTTCCAGTCTCTTATAAATACAACCTGCCAATTTCACAAGGGTATTAGAAAAGAAAGACTCGCACGCGAATTTCGCGCGTGCACACTGTGTACGTTCGTAACGCACATGTTCTAGGCGGTAACTATACCTAACAAAGTACACGTAACAATTATTCGGTTCATCAAAAGACAAAGTCTCTCCTAAAGGGTTTTCTCCGGATTTTTTACATGCGTACTATCTGTGTTCTTATCGGCGAGAAGAGTCGCAAAATTGCATTAGATCATCGTCAATCGGATAAACGTTCGATCGAGCGACGTGAAAGGGAGAAGAAAAAAGAAAAAAAGAAGAAAATACGGATAAACAATTACACGTACGAATAATTGTACATACGTATGTAGCGATCGCATTGCCAGTTACAGGAGAAGGCGCGAGACTCTTTCGAAGGATAATTAGTCGAAGGAGATGGACTCGATAGGACGATAGATACGCAATGACAAGTTGAAGAGGCGTGTAAATTACAAATAATAACGAACAATACAAAATGACAATAATTAATCGATGGTCTCGAAGAAGATCACGAACAATGGAACAACGGTTTTTCCTTTTCGTTGTTAGACAAACTAGTAAACGTTCGTCTATAATCTTAGTTTCCTTAGATTTTTCATAAAACTCGTGTCGAACGATACACGGTACTGATATCGTTATAGAAAACGGCGCGTCGTGTGTAAAGAAAGATTGAACGACACGCGCCGCGCGATGTCCAAACGATATAGAAAAAGGTTAAAAATTAATTAACGAGCATACGGTAACTTTTAACACGAAAGATGTACGTATATTGAATTATTCGTGGGAAAGTTGGTTGACCCACGCAGCCTTACTGGGCCTTATTAAAATATGTATCTTTGCATCATTACTAAAAGTCTATGTACTAATTTAACGATAAAGCATAAATATTTAAACGAACAAAACGATTACAAGATTGAGAGCGAGAGCGAGAGAGAGAGAGAGTGTGTGTATGTGCGTGTGTGAGAGAGAAAGAGAGAGAGAGCAAGTGACGAAGAAGAAAGCGACGATACGAGGATGGAAGAAGTATAATAGCGATGGGAGATAGGAGAGAGAAAAGGAAAATGTAGCAATTGAGAGGGAATAGAGAGATATACACGCATACGCAAATCCACGTGAAAGTCATATAATTATTCGTGTTGATTAGTTTGATTGGACTATACTAGCAATAACGAGGAGAGAAGAGAAAGAAAGACAATGTAAAATGTCATTTGATAGGAAAAGGTAAAGGATTAGGAAGAAACGAAGATAGTAGTACGTACAAAGCTTTCGAATGGCAAGTAAATAATTAATTAATTTAAACGAATCGATGTAAAAGATTGCCTGTTTATCCGATACGATTTCAGTCGCGTTTGTTTCTTTCGGGAATCAAACCGATGATTCGGTAATAACGAGAAGGGATATTTTTGAGGAAAAAGTGTAGACGAAATACAAATACTACAATGAGGGTAGTTTATTTAAGAGTTATTAATAGTTTGTTATTTATTTTTTATTAAAGAATGAGAGCGAGAGCGAGAGCGAGTACGAGAGAGAAGAAGAAGAAAATACGTGTGCGTGTATCGGTGAAAACGAATGAGGGAACGAAAGAAGAACAAAGTATTTCGCCATTTCGTCGTTTGCCTAACTACAAAAGCGAGAAAAAGAAAATAAAAAAAAACTGATTGCGTCCAAAGTAAGATTTAAAGCAACTTTAGACAAACACATTTCCAGTATCGATAACGAATATTTCGTTAACTGCCCTTGTTTTCTCTTCAACTACAATTATTATCACCATTACCATTATTTCCTTAACTCTTCCTTTTTCTCCTTTTTCTCCTTTCCAATTACTTCAGCCTCTACTGTTATCGTTATCGCCAACTCTGTCATTAATGCCACTGTCACCGCTGTTTGCTGCTGCTACTGCTTTCGCAACTATCGCCACCGCTATTGTTATTACTAATAACTATTACTAGTACCAGCGTTATTGCTAATGTCAATTCCTCTATCATTATCAGTACTATTACCAGTCCATCGGTCACTTTTGTTCATTATCGCTATCGTTGCTACCACTATCGCTACCACCATCGCCGCCATCGTTCTCCTACTATTATCACTAGCATTACTAAACACCATCATCTCAACTACACTACAATTATTCTAATTCTGCTGTCAATAGTATTATGAAATAATACTTGTACCATTATAATCAGTACCATCGTCGATTCTATCATCATTACCCCTGACAAAAAAGATTGTTATTATTAGCCCTATCAATGCTACTAGTAAATCCATTATTAGTAGCATCGCTGGCCTTAATGCTGTTGCTGTTGCTGTTGCTGCTGCTGGTGCTGCTGCTGTTGCTGCTGCTGCTGCTGCTGCTGCTGCTGCTGCTGATGATGATGCAATTGTTGCAGCTTTTGTTGCTGTTTCTGCTGCTGTACAAAACTGTAACTGCGAGCCAGTGGCTGCGGCATGCCTTAAAAGATATAAGAAAAGAGAATGGATTAAAATACAAGATACCGATGATTAATTAATTTTAAAGGAACATGAATTATCGTCGTACTTACAATCCAACGAATTGTTACATGCAGTATTCCTTCTATATTCTTTTTCTCTATCACGCTCTCGTTCTCTTTCTCGTTCTGCAACCTCGAGGCTTCTCTGCTTCGACGTATTGCTCAAAACGCCCACACCTCTGACAAGGCTCTTCGAAGGCTCATTTCTTTCGGCTAACATTGCGCCGTACATATCTCTAACATTCGCTTCTGAAAGCGACACTGAACATCCATGATGCCTTCTACCTATACTACCAGTATTATCTTGCTTATTCATATTACGCGGATGCATGGAACTTGGATAAAAGGCTGAAGTGTTTGTTTTGTCCAAACTATTTACTCTTTCCCTATGATGAATCTCCCTTTCCCTATCTCTATCTCTATGATAACGATTACTGCTTTCCACCAGGGAGCCATACTTCTCACCCTGTGATTTATAACTATGACTCAACTGAACTTCTGGCGGACGGTACGGAGGCATCTCTTGCCTAAATCTAGATTCCATCAATGACTCCCGATATGGCGAAGTACTTGGTTCAGGACCGTACGAACCTCTACTACTTTCTCTACCTACAGCAACAAAACGGATTGAGGTAATTTCTTGCTTCCCCTTTTGCATTCTGTTTGAATGAAGATTATTACAGATCTTAACTTTTTAATGAAACTTAACTCACATTCTTACCATTTTTATTCTTTTCCAATTCTAAATTCCCTGCCCTACCCTCGCGTTGTGAATCAGCAAACGTCTTCTTCTTAAATAGGGGAGTACTAGTTGACAGTGACAAACCTAATGGAGGTGGTTCACCCAACGGTACCGATTTCTGATTCTTCACACTTTCCAAAGTGCCGCTCTTGTGTCCCCTAGCTTCCAACGTACCGCTGTGTTGCCTGGGCGAAGATTGTGCTTGAATTGCCGGTGCCTGGGCGACGGAACGATGATGATGCCGAAGAGGAGAATCCAACAATCGATAGGCTGCTGCTGCTGCTGCTACTGCTACTGCTGCTACTGCCGCTACTACTGCCACTGCTACTACTATCACTACCGCTATTACTACCGCTACTACTACCGCTACTGCTACTGCTACCACTATCGCCATTCCCATTACATTGGAACGCTGACATTTGATACGTCTATTATCACCTTTATTACCATTTGATCTTTCTTTCATTTTTCAAAAAGAATATTTTCTTCGGTGGAAATGTTAGGAGCACGTAAGGGTCTCCGCAAAGCCTTTAACAAGCTCAAGGACTGCGTTTATTAACTACTTTATTATAAAGAAGAGTAACAATAATAATGCCGATGATAATAACAAGAATGATAACGATAGTACTACCGGTATTAATATTAATATCAATATTAACAATAATAACAATACTAATGATAATAAGTACAATAATAAGGATAAGAAAAGTCAGAATAAGGATATTATTGATGATCAGATGATGATAATAATAATAACAGCAAGAATGATGATGGTTCGTGCTGTTAAAATTAGTATTATTATGATAATTATTTCTATTACTATTACTCCTACTCCTACTCCTACTACTAATACTATTACTATTACTATTACTATTACTATTACTATTACTAATACTATTACCATTACTATTACCATTACTATACTATTACCATTACTGTTACTCCTATTACTATTACTATTACTACTACTACTATTACTATTACTACTACTACCACCACCATTACTACCACTACCACTACTACTACTACTACTGCTTCTACTACTACTACTATTACTACTACTACCACTACTACTACTACTGCTTCTACTACTACTACTACTTATTACGTACGTACGTACTACTACTACTACTACTACTACTACTACTACTACTACTACTACTACTACTACTACTACTACTACTACTATTACTATTACGTACCACTACACTAAAACTATTACTGTTACTACTGCTACTGCTATTGCTACTACTGATGCTGTTGTTATTACTATTACCACTAGTGTCACTACTAATACTAGTACCATTACTCCTACTATTACTCTATTACCACTACTATTATTATTATTACTATTGCTATTATTACTACTACTGCTGTTGCTGTTACTGTTATCATTACTAAAATTGCTGTTGCCGCTGCTGCTGCTGCTATTACCACTGCTGTTACTATTAGTACTATTAGTACTACGATTAACGATAATTATAACGATATCGATGATAATAGCCGTTACGATAATAATGAGTATAGTTGTATAACGATAATAATAACGTTGATTATATTAACGATAACGATGATGACGATGATGATATAGTGGTAACAATAATTACGATACGAAAGTAATAATAGCTCGTAAGAGACGACGATGAAAATGTGTTCGGTTGTAAAACTTTTACCGAAAGCAATTAAGTCTATCCTTTCTAGATTAAGGTTTTTCCAAGGGAAAAAAGAAAAGAGTATAGGGAAGAATAAGCAACCACGCAGATCCAAACTATTCGCTGTCGATTTAAGAAAGAATAACGAAGAAGCAAGAAGTCGATACTTTTTACTCGATCTGTCATCTCAGTCAGTGTCCTTGTATCTTCGGTAATGATCTAAAACAATGATACCTCTTATCGTTCCTATTTATATAGATCGCTTATATAGATAATACATTAATTCACGAGAAAGGAAACTTGTAAACATACTGTATAATCATCCTTTACCTCGCTGAAAGCGAGTTTTTTTATCTTGTCAAAGCAATGCTTGCACGTATACACACAAAGTCGTCAAAGTTGGTTAATTTAAGTAAAAGATTCTAGCGATTACGGAAAGGAGAAGAGAACGGAAGAATGCGAGCCAGGGAAGAACGAGTGTGCGTTGTGAGTTTCTGTGAACTGTGAAGATAGAAAGAAATTGAGAAAATGAGGCTCCAGTAACCATAATGACAAATAACGATGAATAAACGAAGACGAATAGAGCGAATAGAATGATAGGACGAGCGAATGGAGACAAACATTTCGTACGAATCGTGGCATATGGTTGATTTCTCAGCAACGTAGAGATATTACGTCCATACATAAGATAGGAATGTGATGGTTGGCGATAGTCGCCGTAGGAACGATAGAGATTCGAGCCTGATGAAAATGACGCGAAGATCGACTGCGAGCCAGAAGAACGGCGAACGTCGCTTGTAACGTCGAAAAGTAATTTGCTAATCGCGTGCTAGTTACGGCGCCAGGGAGAAGAGTAAAATTCTTCAACGAGATTGCGTTTTCATAGCGAAACTAGAAATCCGTCGAATGCGAAACGCTGCGCTATACGCGATGCGTTGACGATTTATCGTCGATTAATTTCTCCAATTACCAAAGTCACGTACAAAGCGAATCTACGCTTCAACGATCGTCTTTTGTTTATCGTACCCGCGGCTACAACCTTCCTCGATTCTTTTCTCTCGCAAGCCGATCCCTTCGGAATCTAACGATACCCGTTAGGTGCCAGCTTCGTTCGCTTGCACTCGCAACCCCGCCGTGTACTTAACGAGCGAATACTACCTTCTATGCATGTAGATAATTCCAAGCAAAAAGAGAACGTGAACGGTACGTTGGCAAATGCGAAGAAAGGCATGCGCCAGCCAGTGGCTAGCGACTCGTCTTCTTATTGTTAGTCGAGCAACAAAATAATAGAAAAATCGACCAATTATCGATCGGCTATCCTTTTCTTTTTCTTCATTCTCCTTTCTACGTGCTTAGCGCTTGCAGCTGTTCACTCGGTAAGAGACTAGTCTGATCGATCGCGATATGGCTGTGTATCGTGTCGCGATATCCGCGTACAACCGATCGATCCACGTATCTACCATGTTTTCCTTCTCGTCTTCCGCAACAACGGAAAGATGGAACTCGCGATCGAACCTGCCGATCGATCCTCTATGTATTGTGCGATGCAGATTCAAAGTGCCTTATGACAATTTGTTCGTACCGTAAGAGCAACGCGTATACCGGCTTACCACGAATAACGAAATGCTTGCGAAACAACTGGTAAGGTGTAAAGGAAGAAGAAGGGAAGGAAATGTTAGGAAGAAAAACGTTGCCCTATCGACGATCGAGCAGGAGCGTCGTTCGATCCGTGAAGCGTACTTATTCGCGCTGTTATCGTACGCGACGTATCGAACAGAATAGCGAAAACGAGTTCGAAGAAAAGGAAACAGTAGGTAGGGTAGAGAGGTGGCAGGGTATGAAAGCGGAAGAAAGAGAATGAGAAGCAGCGGCAGCAGCGATAGTTGTGAAAAAGTAGGTAAAAAGCTAACTAATCGCGACAACGACGAAGACGACGACGGTGAAGACGAATGTTTGCGAATGTAAGAAAAAGACACGAGTGCAGCTCGAGTTGGCAAAATTCGCGTTAAAAATTATTTACCGCGTCCTTTTCGCGATTGGCGGCGATCTCGTTGCATCGTTTTCAACTTCGACGATGTATACGATACACTGTACGTACGATACACTGGCGCTCGTAAGTGTGTGCACTTTCTTTTCGTTTTAAATCCGACGTATATCTGATAAAAAGCTGATAAAAAGCACGTAGGACAGGTTAAACGTTAACTTTAAAATTCGAGAACGCTACGCAACTACGCTGCTTTGTTCGCGTTCTCGGAAAACTGTCCTTATCGAGATTGTCGTTCTCTTTTTTCTACGCAGAAATCGAATCCGACGATTGACACGTTACCAAAGAACACTGTCGATCACCAACAATTTTCCGATTACTTTCAACAATCGTTAATTGTCATGAACAGTACTCTTATAGCATTCGTTCATTTTAGAGTCGTTCGTTATTCGTACCAGTTTCCCGCGCTATAATTATGGCATATCTCACCGTACTCCATTTGACAAAAGACTATGAAACTATCAAAAGAGAAATCTAACACTTACCACTTGTAACTCGTCTGATATTTGCCAATACTATTCGTTAGTAAGTTATTACGCAAAAATATTCCGATCGTCAAGATTTGTACACGTATATTCCATGCCATTGATTAATCGTATTTCGATCTCGCAGCCCTTTCTTTCGAGACTTTCAACGCCAGTAAACCGGCGTCCAAAAAATCTATCTTGTCTTTCCCTCCTCCTTTTTCATTCTATCCGACGTCCATACACATTCTCGCACACGTTCAATCGGCATCGATTCCATCTACGCGAAATCTATTTCATTCTGTCTTAGAGCGACTATCGCGATAAATTATCGTCGTGCCTCGTTCAGATTAGTCAAGTTACTCGAAATCAAGTCTTTTGAGCGCAAGTAACCCGACTTCCACTGGAAAATAAGCATTGTACAAGATGTGGTAATTGGTGCAAATTATCGACGTTTCTTTTCTAGTCGACTCTTCTTCGTCGCTAGCTTCCTCGTCTATCCTCTCGATTATCCCCGAAATTTCGCTCTTGCTTCATACCTCGTTCTGATTAATCGAGTTATTGCAATACAAACGACTTGAATTCAACTTGAAAGCATCTTACCGGCTTGAACTTGTTATCTGCTCTATTCTTCTTCTCACTAGTTAATCGCTTGACACCAAGTGCTGGTCTACGCGCCTTCTCCTCTCTCTCTATCTCCTCTGTCTGTCTGTCTGTCTGTCTGTCTCTCTCTCTCTCTGTTTTCTCCGTTGCGTTTCATAACTGCGAAACCACCCTACGATTTTCAATTTTTCTACAGGCGAAAGATACAGAATCAAATGGCTAGCAATGTTATTTACAAGCACAACACAAATAATAACTTTTCTATTTTTCACCTCGTATTAAATGATAATAAAACGTTTCTTTTTTCACGCTTGACCGAGCCTCCATGTAAAAAGTGAAAATTCTTGGGTAGTTTTATAATTATTAAACGCATTGTATCTGCACTACCGTCCATGACTATTTTGGACATTTACAAGTTATCGCAAATATATAGGATATAATTCAAACGAAAGTCTTTCGTCTAATTTGAACCTCCCGTCGTATGCTCATTTTCTGATAGAGCGTTTCTTTAACAGAATCTACCTTTCATTTTCATATTACCACTATTTTGGTAATTGTACGAAAGCAATGTTAAATGCAAAACTTAATGTACGTTACGAGACTGAATATACTTGGACTTGATTAATTAGCGTGTAAACTAAACTGCTGTAACTAAACTGCAGATTTTTATGCATTTATGGAAAATTTGATGGTACAAAAGTGCACGCAGTGTATACAATATGCAAAGATTTATAAAACATCCAAAATAAATTCCGTTTCATTGCCTACGTTCGTTAAAGTATAGATCGCTATAAATGCAATTCTTTCTATTCTTTTATGTATCTTGAAAACTGAAAAATGCTAAATAGACCAATTTAACTTTAATTAAAGAGAATAGTATGGATGGTAGTGTATCTATTTATTTATTTATTTAATATATAGTTATATTCGTCTGTCCGTCCGTGCGCCTGCTTGCATACTACCCGCCTAACGTGCATGCCTGGCTGGCTATCTGCCTGTCTTTCCAGATTTCTCCCTGGCTGCCTGTTTGCCAGCATTCGGTTCGCGACAAACGTGCCAGGTTGGAATTATGTATCGTAAGGTAAACGAGTTAATTCCGTGTACAATGATCTGGTTTTCGTCTGGAATATCTAGATTAGCGATCGAGAATGAGAGGAAAGAAAAAAGAAAGCTCGGAGGACGATCGCGAAGCGAGTGTAACGCGTCGATCGATAAAAATCTCTATAAATCCGAAAGCGAGCTATTGAGGGAAAAAATGCTCGCCGCTCGTGCGATCGCGAAAGGCCTACAACTCCTTCGAGTTTGAGATTTCTGCTTCTATATACATAATTATTATTGTACATAAGCCTCGAAATGCGTTCGCGATCGGCTTCCTTTGTAATTAATATTGTATTAATAAGTGTGAACGTAATAGTTGTAACTATACGGTGAACGTGAATGCTTTAGCTGACGTTTGAAGCGTGTGTTAATCGACTTACGCGTATTATTATTGTTAACGATATACAATTGTATTTACTTTTATAAAATAATGTCGGATATTGTAATTAAAATTCTATACCGAAACCATTCTGTATCCACGAGAGACGAATAAATAAAACGATGAAAACGACCCATATCTCATCCGATCGATTTGATCGATTCGAGGAAAAACCCGCAGATGCGTCGCTATCCCTCTGTTTACTTACATTCCCCTTCATTTGTCTACGTTTGAGATGTGATCGTACGAAACACTTCTGAATTTTTCCAAGTTCGCTTTTTTTAAAAATAACAAGGAATAAGATTGTTAAATAGGATTGTAGAGGGGTAGAATTGAGGTTAAATGTTAAAGCAATTGAATTCCCTTTTAAAAAGTGATAATAGCGCGTCACCTGTTCGTAAGATATAGCGCGCTAAGAAATTTAACACTTAAATTACTCGTTATTTCAGTTTGATAACTTAAATTTGTAACTTATTGGAGTATTCTCCTAAATTTTTCATCTATTTTTCTTCGATATCTAATTTACAATGATTATTCATTAAATACTATTATTGGATATTTACTATATCGATTATTTATTAATACTTTTCTCGCGACAATATTTTTGTCATAAGAACATCTACATTTCACAGTAATTTCACTAATTGATGTTGATGAACATTCGACAAGAAATATTCTAAGGAGAAAGAACAGATCTATTTAAAAATAGAACGCCAAAAGTGAAAACAATCGAAATATTGATGAATTTCGTAAATAAATTTTTTTACATGGATGACGATACACTAACTATGATTTTTATTACAAATCTTGTTAACATTCATACATGTCATATAAAAATAATATTATGCCGAAAAGATATATGTACTAATAGTCTCGTCTGTTTATTAACGTTTTGAATATATAGCTGTTACCACCTGCAAAACATTTCCTAGTGATTGATATATATGTGATATAAAAAATCTATTGTTATTTTGATAAAGATTTTGTTACCACTTATATTTATAGTTGCTACTACAATTATAACAACTATTTATTGAATTATCAATTGTTATAGTTATTATGTTATAATTACAGTAAATAATCTAGCTAATTAAGCACGTTAATTATAATGAACACATCAATAATTCTCAGCCATTGGCAATAATAGATGATCGCATCTCCCTTTCTCTCAAGTAGTTTAAAAATTCTCTTAGAATAAAAATGATAGAAATTTCATTCTTTACATAACAGAGTGGTAACTTATTTACCCAATTAAAATATCCGATATAAATGAATATTCATTTATACTAGATAATTTCACAAAGCGATGAACATATTCTTCGCCAGCTTAGTTAGACTATTTGAGACGGCTGAGGCTTTACGGTACTAGAAACTAATAATAATAGTAATTAACAAAAAAATATTTCTTTTTAATTTAACTACTAAATACACTATACAAGGACACATAATATACTACACAAATATTATCCTATAAATCGTAATATACAATATTAGAATCATATGAAATAAGACTTCATTTCATTTTGCCTCAAGTATCATCTTTCGACTCAAGATAATTATAAATATATTTATAATAAAGTAAATGAGTAGCACAAACTTTATATAATTGTCCTTCATTTTTGCAAAGAAGAAATAAATTTACAGAACAAGCCACGCAGCTTATTTTCTTCGTACTAATAAATATCTGCATAAAATAATACGTATCCATACATGCTACTTAATCAAGGGACAAATGGACACGTGTGTCATTAGCTGCCAGTTTAACAAGTGTTTTTTTTACTCTAAGAACAGGTAGTCGCGCTGCAGGTTTTCCATGCCAGCATTCTTTCATTAATTTCCCCAAACCAGCCAATGTCTATAAAACATATATTATTATTTTGATGTCTTCCTAAGAAAACAATCTTTTCACATTTCATTCTTTTAAAAAAGAAAGTTCTAAAGCAAAAAATTAATGAATTAAATGCATACTGGATCAGAATGCCATCTGTTAGGAAGAGGTGGTCTATGTTGATCCAAACATACTAATTTTCGCATTTCTTCGATAGAAGGTTCTTGACTATTAGAAAGCCATTCAGAATATGGTGCTACATATTCTAATGCAACACCGTTACTTATACACCTCCTGCAAACTTCCCATAGTATCAATCCTAAACTGTATATATCAGCTCGTCTGAAGTTCTCCAAACATTCGACGTTTATCCTAAAGAAGTATTTTTAGTTTAGCGATTTAACGAGACAACTATTAAAAAGCTATTGTTCGAAAAATATAATTAAAAGTAATACATACGTTTGCTCAAGAATCTCTGGGCTCATATATCGTTTTGTACCTTGTTTTAAATCGATTCTATCTGTAGCCAAACGTTCTTGCGTTACAGCTAATGCAAAATCAGCAATTACACAACTACCATTAGTTTTAACAAGAATATTTTTAGATTTGAGATTACGGTGTGCCATGGCTGGTTTCCCTCTAGTTCCATGAATTTCTGTATGTAGATAAAGCAATCCATTCACAATACTCAAACAAATACTGAGTGTTTGATGATGTGTCAAAGAATGAGGTGTTCGATTTAAATAATCGAAAAGCGAGCCCATCGGGTGATAATGAGTCACTAGCCAAAGTTGAGTGCAACTTGCTCTACTTGTCATATCACTTCCGACGTAACCGAGAATATTATCGTGTCTCGATGGTAGCAATTGAGAATAAACTTCTGTTTCACGAGCCCAAGCTGCTTCATCTCGTGAAAAATATATTTTTACAGCAACATTTTCACCATGCCATATTCCTCTCCAAACTTCTCCACCAAATCCACCATTACCACCGCTACCAAGGCATTCCACTAGTGCCACTTGTTTAGCCAATGTTCTTTGCACCAATAATGGTAAACCAGATCCTGATCCACTAGTTAAGCTTCTTCCATCCAAGTATTCCTATTTCAATATACAATTTATATAATATTTACGTTTAAAATATGAAAATTACGAAATAAAGCAGAAGATGTAATAGAAAGAAAAGAGAATCAATTTTTATATTTCTGAACCTAAAATGAAATGAATTTTTAATAAGCATACAAATTTCTAGTTTAATTGCCTACATAAAAAAGAATTCAGAAAACACGTAACCATATTGTACCTATATTTATGTTTATTTGTTTAATTATTTTGTGTTTTCCTGAGAAAGCTTATATCGCTGTGTTTAATTGTATCTACATGTAATAAAATTCTCTTAATGCTATAAATATAGCTGACAATAAACGTATAAATATACATATATATGAAGACAGATTAGTCTATATTTGAACTTGAACTACTACAGGTAACATTTTATATCATACCTTTAGTGTACTATCACCAGCTGCAGTTGCTTTTAGTTCATGAGAATGATACGTAGTGGATGTTGGAGAAGAAAATGAGAAATGTAGGATAGATGACTCCATTTCAGAATCTATAACAAGTTTATTACGCCTTGCAGCCAATGTCCTTTTTTTACGAGTCCTACATACCAATAAATAAAACAGCACTATTCCAGCAATAATACAGAATCCAACCACAGGACCCAAAATTGCCAATGTTAACTTAACTGCATAATCTTCTTCAACAACATCTAAAAAATGAAACATAATTTGTACAAAAAATATATATATAAATAAAAAGATGGAATTATGTGTATAATATTTACCTCCATTAAAGTCATGTAATATTGGAAATGGCCCGCCATTGCAAAAATCTGTTTGGCAACATTCAACATGATATTGTACACCTCGTGAGGGTCCACTTACATGCCTCTTTTTAGTAACACTTTGAATAATACGCGGTGGCAATTGCTTATTACATATTAATAACATTTGATCTATCGTCGAAGTACATCCTCTACTTACACTTTCTATACCATCTGGTTGTCTTACTCTAGATTTCCAACACTATCGAATATTAAAACATACATTACTTCCCTAATATTCTGTAATTTAATGACTTTCTATACAATATTACAAGAGATATTACAGTAACTGCATTATAGCAGATTTCAGAATATAAGCAATCTGGTCCCTCGCAAATATGACATTTAAAACGTTGCTGCCCAGTCAAACTGCCATTAAAAGCCATAGTATCTATAGACTTTTGTGATTCTTCACTTTCAACAGAAAAATCATTTTCTAATAAAGAAAACTTCTCTTCTTCTCCTAAAAACGAGTCCTGTTAACCATTGAAATATATTTCAAGATATTATGAAGCATTATTTATAATTAGTGCATATGCACACTTGTATGCAGTTATTCAGATAAATGTGCATCAAATTGAATAATAATGCCAAATCAACAAAAAAAGATTAGAAAAAATTCAATTGAAAGAATAGCAATAAATGTGTTAGATGCTAGTATGAAACATTAAATAAGAAGAAAATAAACGTTTTGTTTCTGAATTGTTAGCTTGTCATTAGCATAAAGTATTTGTTTGATTGAAAAATATATTGCCCACCTGGACATAATTTGAGTATCAACGATAATATAAAATATGTGATAAACATAAAATCCGCCATTGCCATGCACGTCAAAACATTGAGGAGCTAAAATGAAATCGACACTTTTTCAAAATTCTTTTTTATGCGTGTCTGTCTACAATGAAATTAAAAGTAACTTCTATATTTCTACAACATGAATGAAAAATTTAACATACATGCGATCAACATTGAATTGGCGGTATTTTATTTTCATATTAAAAAAAAGAAATATCTACAGATGTCGTTACTATCGTTTTATTCCGTTCATATGATGCGTCCAAATGCGTATATTGTATGTATATATATATACATATATAAAGTACACACACACACATATATATATGTAATGTGGTACCCTAATAGCATGAATTTAGCTTATTTTTGTTTAGTAATATCGATATATAGATTTGGAGCTAAATTTGAAATTATCAGTACATATATGACAAGGAAATATCAAGGCCTGTTACACAATCGAACTAGTATTATTAATGGTACATACTTGTATCATCATGACGTGATAGTTGAGGTCAAGACCAAATTTTAACTTTTATTTAATGTTTAATAAATATAATTCAAAAACAGTACATTAAATATCAATGTATGTGCATGTATGCAATGTGTACAATTTATCCAGTACCGATATTTGTTTAAATATTTCGCTAAATAAAATTAATACATATATTTAACATACTTTCAACCGTTCAAGAGACGATCATGTTCGATGATCGATAACATTTTGATATCTTAGTATCAAATATTCAGCAGCCAGTGTCATCTTTTGTATGTTACGATGTAATCCATGTAAATGCTTCTTAAAAGACTGTGCAGTAGCACTAACATCGTTCTCATTTTCCGCTCCAAAATTATTTTCAATAAAAGTATCGGATTCTGAATTAGATGAAGTATAGATACTTTGCATACTATACATCGACGTACTACTCGAACTCCTAGCGCGTTTTAATTTTTCTGCTGACACAACAAAATCATTCTCTGTTTCTTGAAAATTATCCGTACAATTCTGTGACCATAAGATCTCGATTTTCATTTGACTAATGACGTTATAAAGGTGATACAAATTGGTATTAGCCAAAGTTGCGTTGATAATAGAACTACGTTTGTCCCCTAACTGAAGCCTATCCTGTGAATCGCCTACTGTTAAATCTAGAAGTCGACTGGGAATTAAAATCGTATTTTCCATCTCACACACTGTTTGAATAAATCGTTCCATGCTATTCAAAATAGAATTATTGCTAAATCCAATAACATCATGTTTGGTTAATTTTTGAAGACTTGCCCTAAAACAGAAGTATAGATAGTGATAATGATTATAGGGAGCAAGTGAAAACATTATTGATTACTTCATAATTCGATGATTATAATGCATTTATCGATTAATGAACATAAAACGCATGTATTGTAACGTTATTTCAAAACATGTATAAGTATTGTATTAATTGAGTCGGTGTTATTAAATTATGAAAAAAATGGCTGAGTAATTAATAATTTCGTCTACATCGAACTTTCTATTTCAAATTGATTTTGCAATAAATTTATTTTTATTGTAAATTATTAGTCTGCTGTAGATATAATTTATTATATTATAAAGACTATCACTTACCCCTTGCATGACATTTCACAGTACACTTTAAATAAAATAAAAATAGTAGAATAAACACAATGAAAAGATAACTAATGCATTGGATAAGAGCTCTTACAACAATAACGTGAATGTACCAACTTTACCACTGTAACAGAGTGACAAAAGTAAATTCCAATGAATTCAGTATGATAGGTAATGAAGTAAAGGTTCCCAGGTCATAATAAATATTGAAATTTCCTCCCAGCTACAATTAACATATTCTACTTCCTGCAATATTGTATGATATTGTAATTCTATACTCTAGAAAAAAAGATAGACGTTTGATCTGATTTAACTGATAGTGATAGGGTTTATACATTTTTCTTGTTTCGTGATCTTGCACTATTGCAAAGGCAATATAAAAAAATTATTTATCACAAATCAAGCTGTAATTCAAAAGCAAGCAACTAGTGACTTTAGTTTCAATTATGACGATTTATACAAATGTTTGTATACTCTTTTGTATTAAAAAATGATTAAAAAGAATCTTAAATAATTCTAATTTTTTGATTTCACGAACAATTTCAAATTTCGCTTCTGATTCACATCTCGATATCACTGAATACAAAGCTAAGTTCATGCGATAGCGTAACAACATCGTGTTTATATATATATATGTCATATCATACATGCAGTAATATGACATATGTATAACTGTGGTACCACTCTTTATCTTATCGATATAATCAACCAACGGTAATTAATTATTATCTTTATTATCTTTAACAGATTCCTGTTTAAAATTTATGCACAGTATAAAGTAAGTTAGGCAATTGTTGTAAATGAATACATGTATTATGAATAAAATGATATAAACACTTGTTGGAACATTTTGTTAGAGTTCATAAAGTTGTAAAGAGTAATGGTTATAAAACGTGAATTTTATTAGGATTATAAATATGCAAGAATTATGAAACGTGAAAACTTGCATTTTCAGATTCTACATGTTTAAAACTACAAAATTACAAATAAAAAAGTTAATAATCTTTGATCCGCTAGATTAAAATTTAGCCTTATTTGTTTTTACTAGATTAACCCTGAAGGAAGAATAAACACTATACGAAATATCATTATATATGCTAATATGGCTCTTACAAATATATCTGGTATTCCGGATAAACACTGGCAACCACCATTCGTAGCATTTGAAACAACGCAAGTATATACTAATTACCACTTTTATTTCTTTTTTGTTCTTTTTAATTTTGCAAAATATAATAATAATTGTAAAAATAAGAAAGTATATTACCATATTATGATATTTTAATTCAATTATTATGCAAATATTTCTATATTATTATAATCTTCTTTTTTACAGTATGGGTGAAATAGTGATAGAACTCTATTGGAAACATGTACCAATTACTTGTAGAAATTTTGCTGAACTTACACGACGTGGTTATTATAATGGAACAAAATTTCACAGAATTATTCGAGATTTTATGATACAAGGTATCATATTGATTTAGTTATCAACTTCCGCTCATATTAACCCAGAAAGTTTGATATTTTATTTTGTTTTAGGTGGTGATCCTACTGGAACTGGGAAAGGTGGTGTGTCTATTTATGGAGAGTGTTTCGATGATGAAATACATGATGATTTAAAACATACCGGTATGTTTATATATGTAACACAAATATCTTTATTTTTATGATTTATAAAAACTTGTGGGAATGACAAAATTATAATCTGATATTGTCATAGGATATTTCAATAAAACTTATATTAATATATACCATTATCAAGTTTAATATTCTATGGAAAAAAATTATATTGGATTTAGGTGCTGGAGTTGTTTCCATGGCTAATTCAGGACCAAACACTAATGGATCACAGTTTTTTATTACATTAGCACCAACACAGTGGCTCGATGGAAAACATACAATTTTTGGTAAGTGAGTTTTAAAAATATATTTTGCGAATTATTCAATTTATGATCGTTCAAAATATTTTTGCTGTTCTAATGATACAGAACAGAGAATGCAAATTATAGTTAATCATAGAAATTATAGATATTGGTGTTTCAGTTTAACATTGTACTTTAATAATTGCAAACATCAAAGAGCTTAAAAATATTTTTATTCTTGTTTACATTTTTTCTTTTTCATTAACAGGAAGAATCCATTCTGGTATGACAATAGTGAAAAGGATTGGATTAGTGGAAACTGATAAGAATGACAGACCCGTTGATGACATAAAAATTGTAAAAGGATCCATAAGGAATGCATAATAAAGTAAACATACTTTTGATGGTCTGTATTTATTACTTTTAAAACTTGCCTGCAACATAATATTTTGTACGTAATAAAATATCGATCACATCTTTGTACTAGATTCTAAAATTCACTTTTTTCACTAGTCGTACTACTCATATGGTACATGTAAGTTTACGATACAAAAGATACGTCTATAAAGAAAAGGTAGAACATTCAGACTCACCCCATTCAAGCTTAATTTTTATTCTCAGTCGCTTTGATGTTGTCCTTCGAAGAATGCATACTGTCAATTTTCTTGTATATGTGTATCACCTGTGTATAGAACAGATGCTTCATATGTAGCACAATTTAACATTCCGTCTATCATCGTATAATTTGTATTCTAATAATAGAGTGTAGAATGCTTTGATTATAATTGCCTATGCTTTTACACTTTGTATTGATAGTTTAGCCAAATTAGTAGTACCATAACAGAGTATTTTACGACATAACACATTTCTTCATATTTACATATAATTATTACATATAATCTATGTAACTTAATGGTCTAATATATTATTAAAGTATTCTAAATTTTTACCTTAATGTTTTTGCTGATGAAATAGGCATGCAAATATGCCAAAATTACAGGCACAATGTACCAGGCGGAATGTAACTGAAAAAATAGTCATAATTTACATAAATACGACTTTTAATATATATTTAAACTAAATTATTTTTTTGTTCGCTCGATCGTTCGTAAAGCATTTGGATCTTCGATCGCGGTTCGACAAGCAATTTAAGTGAGATAGAGAACCTTTTATTGTATGTAGTATTATCTTCCATAGGAGTGACTGGAAGTTGGTAAGGAGGTCTCTCACTCCATGGTTTTTCAACTTTATCCGCACACTCCACAGGCTGATAACTCAGCTGCATGACAGTTTCTGCTTCCATTGGAACATCTGGTAAGCAACATGTACGTACTGGTGCGTAATTATGAATAGGTGTTAACGATTTAAGATCATTCTCTAAATAAGAAAGTCTGTAAGTAGTACAACCTGTAAACAATCAATCAAATGATCAAACTTTGTAGATTTATATTATAATAAAGGATAATAATGTTAATATTATCCATTAAAAAATGTTAATAAATAAACCAATATTGCTGCTGTTTATTAAAATAGACAATGCATTTGTAATACGTGCATTCGATAGGTGTACACGCAGGAACAAGGTTATCTGCGCGACGAGCATCTGGTTCTAATGGTATATTCTTCCATGTATAATCGTGTTTTTGCGTGGTTACCTCTTGTATGGGCCCTCTACCTAAAAATTGTTTATCGCAAGGTATAATCGGTGGATCTTGTTTAACACACCAGTTGCCCAAGAAACTCATCTGAAATATTACACATACATATGTTACATATTCGTTATTATATATACATATGCATATACACATACTGAAATGCTGAAATGAATACATATATGACTTGTACAAAATATGACTTATATAGTGTCTTTTAAGACAATTTAAAAAACATTAAAATATTTAAATTTCATATCTTACATACTCGATGAACGGTATCATAAGATAGAGAACAAGGCGAAAACTGAATATTGTTAGGTTGCCGAATAGGAGTTCGCTTATCTCCTCCACAGCCAAAGTAACTCAGACGATAAGTTGTGTTATCCTCGGTGCAACAACCAGCATTTAGAATGTTATCAGTTGGCTGAAGTATGATTGGTGAACGTCTTTTTTCCGAATGTGGCCAATAACTTAATTTGTAAGTTGTGCATCCATCCATCGGTTCTACAGGTGGCGAATATTCTTTTCTCTGCCATAAAGGTTCTTCCTAAAGAATACAAGAATAGAAGAAAGTATTGTTAGAAAAATATATAAAAATGCGTATACATTGTACGCTGAACAATAGTTTTTCCGTGAAAGCGCATCGCTGGTTTTACCGTGTATTATCCTTCGTTTGCAAAGCCAGACAAAGACTGGCTTGTTATGATAATACAAAATATCACATCTAAGATAATATGCTTACTACCTTCATAGATTCATTTGGCCAATAACTAAGTTTGTACGTTGTATGGTCTTCCATTGGAATATCTGGTTTAACATATTTTCTTATAGGAGCGTAAGATAGCGCAGGTAGATTACAACCAGACTGATAGTAGCTTAATTTATATGTTGTATCATCTGAAACATCAAATTTCGTACCAAAGTTGTAATTAATTTGCAACGGTACAAGCCGAGTCTTGAATTTTGTTAGAGTTTGTTGTGCAGGGTTGTTAGATCTCTACGGGACAAGTAGAAGATAAACGTAAAAAATTGAGAAGGGAAGATATTTTATGTAAGAATAGAAACAATGAACGTAAAACGCATACATATATATATCCAGTATATAGTATAATGCATTTAACATTTGAATTAGTATTTACATGTAACAACTTCTAATGCTGCTTGTATTTACCCAGTAACGGTGCAGGTGCACAGTATAAATTATTCTCTGCTTTATAAGCTTCTATTTGTGGTATAGACTTCCATGTATAGTCATGTTTTTGAGTCGTAACATCCTGTATAGGACCTCTACCGAGCCATTGTTTCTCACAAGGTATACAGGGTGATTCAGGTTTCACACATAAGTGTTCAAAATAACTGTTCTGAAACATGTCGAAAATGTGTGCAGATATTACGCACGAAAGAAATATCGAACAAAATTGAAAAGCTTAAATGGCTAATCGATCTCAAGCAAGGATCAATAGATCTTTACAATGAAAGAGCGACGAACGCGTGTATGATGACCCTATTAGGGCAAAGGGATTTGATGTACATTACTCGGTTACAAAAAATCATATAGTTTTGAATCCTGCATCGAATAAAAAATATATTTCCCACTTTAAGGATATTATTATTTTTTACGTCTTACTTTATATGTTGTTTCGTCTGATATTTCACCATCTCCGGTCGCTAACCAATTTCGAGGCAGGATAGGATCCACAGGAGCACTCGGGCACTCCCAATAGGAGAGTCGGTATGTAGTGTTATTATCCATTGGTATACCTGATTTCCAATAATGCTGAAATAATATTTGTTAGGTGAATTGTATTTTAATAAAGTGTTATCAAGGAAAGAAAGAAATGTCTAAGGAGTATAAACAAGTGTGTAAGAAACAATCTGAAATTTAAAAAACTTTTGCAGTTTGCGGATAACGAATGAAGAATACGTAATACAGAGATTATTATTTTAATCGAGGCTTTATACTTACACGGATTGGGGCAAAGGACTTTGGTATCTCTGGTTGCACATATTTCTATAGTAAACGGAATTGTTAAGGCAACGATCGTACAAAATAAAAATAATTATATATATTTTAATCGTACTTACATAGCATGTACGTTGTGGAGTTGTACAACAGCAGCAGCAGTTACAGCAATCATCGTGATTTATCTAAAAGACAGTAAGCAAAATGTTTTTCTTAGTTTCGAATATTTAATATTATTTAGCCGGATTATTTTGCATATATGCAAATGCTTCAAACATTAAAATATGACATATAGCATTGTCTCTACTCTTGCAATCATGGAAATTAAATTATTTCGGTATAAACTCTAAAAATAATTTCAAGCATTCTTTAATTGTAAAATTGATAATCGTTAAAAATCTGAAATATAGATGAAAGTTTTATTCGAGGAAATGATATTTCATATGTATTAACCTAATCCGTTCCAAAGTTTCATTTTAACTTACCTTAATTTTACTTCTTTCCTCAATAACTGATTGTCGTCGTTGTTGTTGTTGCTTGCACTCAGGCCTACGATGCGTTGTAATGTTAAGGAATATCGTTATTTGCAATAAATTAAATTTCAATGCAATTTGTTATTTAATATATTATATCAGCTCACGGATTGATAGTACAGATCTGCATGATGATAACGGCTTTTCATAATAGGAAATAGCGTTGCTTTCTGAAACTGAAAGAATAAAATATATTTTCATTTAATTAAACGATTAAAAAATATTAATATCAAAAAGGAAATAGTGGACGATTATATCAGAAGTCAGTGGTTTTATATTATATCGCATTGTAAATAGTTCATACCATAGTAGGCTATGAAACGATTTGCCATAATTCTTTAAGTTACGTTATAAATGAAATTGTACGATGAAATTTTGTAATCAAAAATTCCTAGAATTATTGCTCTCGCTTCTTTTTTACAACGGAAAGAAGTACAATTTGTCAGTGTATAAAATTACAACATGCTACTTGTATCATTTATCGTTTCTCCTATTAACCGTACGATACCCGAGCGTTTAATCATGAAATAATACGTAAAAGTCAAAGGAAGGCAATTAACATTCGCTGCGTAATTTTCACGGAAGGCCACTTTTGCGATACTCTTGAAAAGTAGAGGGTTCAGGCAATCAAGTCGCTTTTGCAATTTGCTATTCGAGAAAAAAAATAAATAAAGAATTTGTTCAGAAGGAACGATTGCGTAGATTTTACAATGAAAATGATTTGTTTATCAGAACGAACGAGGACGCCTGACGCTCAATAAATACCGATGAGTGTACCGACCGGTTCTTTGGCAAAGGGATACGCGAGATCTGAACTCTGATTCACACTGTATGGAAGCCAGAGCGTTTCGCTTCCTCCTCTAAATTCGGGAAGTACGTTCCAAAAACTAAACGAGACACGAGAAATTTGGCCACTCGCCAAAAGCCCTGTGTAAACAGGGCGGCAAACAACAGTGGCAAAGTAATGATATGCGATTAAACTCAAAGCGAATTTTACTTTCCTTATAGTTACCATATGGAATACGCACGATTTAACGAATTACAGAGTTCGCAGTTTTAATGTTTAGAAAGATATTGAAGTTTATAACTGGGAATATTAGTTGACTATCAATTTATAGAACGTTTTCGTTGTTTTAGTCAAATTACTGAAAAGTAGAGCTGCATTTTTATTGCAGCAGCCTCTTCTGTTGATAACTGACACTATAAGTTATATGTAAAAGACGATGATTTGTCCAATCGGTAAGTGCGTTGTCCAAGAAACTCACAACTGGTGAAATTGTAACTTTACTTTTCTATCTCATTCTGAGTAATTTCTTCGGAGTTCTTTAAGATTAAACCTGTAAATAATAAGAACGTACTTAATTTTATTTTGCAAGTACTATTTTTCTTACTAACAAAATTAACAACATAGTATGGATATACGTACGTATATGATATGTATACGTTTAACATTTTTCTTTAAAACGTAATGGACTGGAAAATAACTTGATTTCTCGCTTGTTATAATAAACACTCAAGTATATAAAAAAGTAAGTAATTTCCACATTACTATGTACATAACATGTTGTAGTAAATAATTAATGTTTACGAATTGTGATTTCGTTGTGTGAATCTATAAAGAAATAAATTACGTTTAAGTATAATCTGTTGAAAATATTTAAGACTTTTGTTTATAGAAATTAGAAAAAGGTAGATCAAGATATGAACAATTATACCACATATATATGATATTGAATTGGCCACTTTTTGTATGAAACAGAATAATTAGGAATATATATCATCGCCGTTTTGCGTTTTGAATAAATATGTTTTGCTCTTGTTTGTATCGTGTAACAGTTTGGCAATAATTTCAATATTTTCCTACTGATGTTTGCTATATGGTTGCAATATGTTTGTAACATGAAACCACCATCGATACTACGATAAAACTTTTTTGATTTTAAAGATCAGAAAAGGTTAGTATGTTATAATGGTACTATGTATTTATAGTACATCGATTAGATTATTTTTTCAACAATTACATTTTAGATTTCTATCGAATTTTCAGTGAAATTTATATTCGTATATTAAAGTGAATTTATAAAACTATTCTATATTCTTTACACAATGCAAAAGAAAATAAAATATGATAATGAACTAGAGAAGAAAGCAAAAGTACTTTCGATATTTTCTAGAATCAAATTATTGCGACATATGTATATTCAATATTCGAGTATTGTTTATGGGAAGTAGAACGTTGTTGGCTATGTTAGGTAAAAAGCAAAATGTATCAAAGCTCGATAACCTTACCGTGAAATACAGAGAGCAATATATAACGCGTTATTGAACTATACGTACGTACGATTTTAAAATTATTCCGTAAGCAGATTATTTCTGTCACAATATCGGCTGACGAATTTGAATCATAATAACTATGCGATAGTTATCGTCTGCGATGACATCTACTGGGAGTGTTGCGCGTGTAGCGACGCGCATGCGTATTCTACATCGAAACATACACCTTGTATAAATAGAGGTGGTGAAAGTTCACGCGGACAGTTCGCTGTGAGTAACAGTGTCGCGAAATTTGTTGGTGTACTAGTGTATCTTCTTTGCACGCAGAGAAAGGTTACATAGACGAGTCGTTGACTCTGTGTGATCTTCCAATCTATTCGCGTCAACGTATTATTACAAACTTCTCAGATCTTTCCCAATAAAAGTCTGATCTTCCGGTCAATTCAAAGTACTAGAGAAGAACACAAAAAAGACAAAAATTACAAACAAGAAAAAGAAAAAAGGCGACATGCCAGCCGACGTAGCGATGCATACTAACTTCCTGCAATTCAACCAGTCGAGCCTGAAGGACTCGAACGTGGATTCTTGCTGGAACACCGAGAACATGAGCGGTTATATGACCTTGATGAGTCCGAATGGTCATCGCCAAGGCGTGCAAGTGAAGGTCTACCGGACGAGTGTCGAGCATTTCGCCGTAATTTATCCACAGAAAAAGGTGTGCAGACCTTTGGGCGTGTTGAACTTGAGGAATACAATGATCGAACGTTATGGGGAGGAAGGATTTCTGGTAAGACAGAAAGGTTTCGATTCGCCAATTGCGTTAACCTTTCTCATGGAAAACAAGAAGGAGCTCGATTACTGGGTGATGGCCTTCACCGCAAGAACGAGCCCTCTGATGCATCAGAGCAGTCTGCCGATCGTCGAGGAGGAAGAAGTCTAAGGATGATTTCCCACATAGCCAGCACGTCGTGTCACATGTACCAGTGTCATTCACACGACGAGCGGCCGAAAGCCGCGAAATCGATCGATCCTTCTCCATCCCTTGGTAAGAAAGCTCGACAAAACGAAGAGTATTAATTTATTATATTCGGCTTCTGCATCTTCTCGACCCAACATATTTTCAACTCTCTATGTGTGACATATTCCGTATATAATTTGAGAGCTGGTTTTCATCCGTTTGTAACGAGAGAGTTGCTCTTCCGGATTCCAGAAATATCCAGATATTGACGGAATTGAGACAACACCGGTCGTGGACCGACCTAATCCAGATTGGTGTCGAGAAAAAAAAACAGGTCATAGTTTAAAAATGTACGACGACTTGATTTATTGGGACACCTTAGCACGTTGATTAGACGTCGAGTTCTATCAACGACAAAATGTCATCGACACGCGCGTATTGCGTTAAAAGGGTCCAGAGAATTATGGCGCGAGGCCATGTTGCCAGTAGGCTCTAACAACCAAGCAGCATCATCGATCCTAGCCAGCTGTGACCAATCGCAGGCGTTCCTTCTAGCCGGTGCACCAAGCAGGCTTCAAGGGAGACAAGGAGACACGAAGGAGGATCAAACTCCGTAAGGAGAAGAGTAAACGAGAAAGAGGAATACGGAAGGCAAGAGAAGCAGGGAGAAATAAAAAGGAGGAGGAGGAGGAGGAGGGAGATGAGAGTTTCTCCCATGAGACTACCTACGCGGACTGTGCATACTAGTGTGATTCCTCTTCTCTTTCTCTGTGAAAATAACCGTTAACTTTGACCTGGCAACCGCGAGCTACCGCGGTTATGCTCTACCGATCACCAGTTAGAAAGAACTTCCAGGTGATTCGGTCGAGTGAGAGAGGGTCGAAATCGAGCCTCCGCTATAACAGCCGCTTGCAAGACTCAAACGACTTTTCAGTATCGAATCGAACCTGATCTCGAATCCTTGTAGATATCGAAATCCAAACCAAGAAAATATCGAACAAACGAAGCAGAACCACCGAATTATTTTTTCTTTCATCTTTTTACCTTTTATAAAGAATTCGTTCGGAAATATCCGATAATTAGCCAAGCGTATCACATCGATTCAATTGATAATTATCGATGCGATTAAAATTAAAATACCCTTAATATATATTGTTTGAAATAGTCACATTTTGAAATGGATATATGATTGCGATTGATCGAGCTGCCAATTAACAATACATATCGATCGGTATGATATTCATTTATCATTTGTAGATAAAACAAGCGGAAAATCTCTTTCCGTAAATTCATGAATTGACTATGAATTTCTGTTAAATGTCACGTATAATCAAAGTACGATATTTATAAAAAGAAACGAATAATTTCAGAGGCAGACAGCTTTCTAATTTATAATAGAACCCAATTATTTTTTACACGATCTCATATATTGTGCGATGAATGATACTTCATTATGTAGGTTATATCGATAAAACAGTTAATGAATAACCATTAGATTATGTCAGGTTATGAAACTGATTTCATTCGTAACTTATTATAATCCAATAACGAATTGTCAGGCAATTAAAAAACTGAATATCACCGAAATAATTAAAAGCCTTCCCTCGATAAAATTGATTAATTTTTAAGATTGTATCTACAACTCACCTGCATCATTTGTTATGGTTTTATCATTTGTTAAAAAATTACTTGAAAGTTTTCATTGGACTTAATCACACCGTCTTCGATGCAGACCAACAAATTCAAATCATTTTCCAGTTCAGATAGGATCAGATTCGATCGAATATACGGCAAACGTATCATTTACCCGTAGAACGAAATTACACGCCGTCGAGAGGCACACATCGTCAAGGCGATTTAAAGGAAAAAGGAATCGTACTCGCTGCGAAATGCTGTCCAAAGACATTTATCATTTTCGTTCGAACGCGTTATTTAAGACAAGATATCCGAACAGTTGTGTTCGGTACGACCATTCGGCGTGACTGGTCGAGATCTCGAAGCATTTGTAAATCGATATTGTCTCGGACCGTTGATATAACTATCGTTTCATGGTAAATTTTAAGATTGTCTGTGATATTACGTAGACGATGGCGTCATAGTTACAATAGGCTTCAAAGTAGTGTGTACGGTGTTATGTTATAGCGACCAACGCATGGTGAA